GGGATATAATGTATAGGCCTGGTGGGTTCAGGGTCTTCCATCTTACAACTGCCTGCGTGCATGGTGGAGGTGCAAGATACTTGAGCGTGTAATGTTAATTTTACCTGTGATCCTTTGAATAAATCAGCACTGTTTTGAAGTTACTTGGACTGTCTCGTCTCTCAGAGTTAGCAATGGTAATACGAACCATATCCTACATTATATTGCTGCATTTGTTGCTGCAGTTACTTTATAAGCTCTAGTTATTTTTCATAACTTTAGTTCCCTTTAGTTACTTTTCATACCTTTATTTTCCTTGCTGATATATTACAGCTGTATTGATGATTGTCCTGAACTACTGAGCTTTTGTTACTTTTAATACATTTATTTTTCTTGCTTATATATCTTACAATTGTATTGCTGAGAATCAAGTGATACTGACTGCTTTAACTTCTGTGTAGACATAGTGTCTGTACATTCAGGTAACCAGACAGCCTATTTTACATTTTAACAAAGACCTCTTGGCCTGTTTTGCACCTTCACCTGGTGTGTCCTGCAGAGACAGGGGGGCCTGAAGCCCAGACCACCCATTGTTCAGTGTCCATTGATCAAGCTGCTGCCGGAGAAACACACACACACACCTAATTTAGATCACATTTCAGCAAGCAGACGCAGCAAGCAGGGGTTGACCTGTTCATGCCAAATGGCCAATAGGATTATGAAGTGTGGAATGTTGTACCTCTGTCCAGGGCGGGCCTAGCCCAAGAAGATGAATGTATTGAAAACATATAACTCATGGTTCAGACAATGAATTTCCTGCGGGAGCTCTGTCTCTCTGACCCCCGCACTGTAAGACTTCACCCGTGCCCAGACTTTGAGTAAACTTCCTGTTGATTTTAAACAGTCCTCTCCTGTCTTCACTTCTCGCGCTTTCAATAAAAGAATTTGGGTAAAATATAACAGTTAGAAAATATTTAAATGCCCCAGCTGCTGGTTTATTGTGTTAATTCTCAGTACAAGACATTTTAAATGGCATTGTATTATTTTTCAGAGTCACTTACAAAGCAGAGCAGAACAGTTTTAAAAGTGGGATACAGGGGTAGGGGGCAGCATTGTTTGGGCAGATTAACTTTGGAACACAGGGCCCCAGGTTGGCTTGGGCCAGTCCTGACCTTGCATAAAAAAGGTATGTCTGTGTATTTGCAGCTACAATTTATTTTTACCCAGTCTTTTACCCAAGCTGCCTTTATGTCAATGCCAATGGACATATTACCATGACCATGAAATAGGGTTTAGCAATATCTGCTGGGAGACATCTGGATATAAATCCTCTGAAACCTATTTCATGTCTATCTTTCAAGAGCTTTTTTGACAAAATTATCATCTGTAGAGAAATTAAAATCGTGAAAATAATCATTTAATTTGAACAAACAAAACTCGTTTCTGTGCTTGTTACATTTTTATTGTATTTCTGTTATTAACCATATACTGTATACATCCATCCAGCCATTATTATTCACTTATCTGGGGTTGGGTTGCAGTGGCAGCAGGTTCAGTCATGTAGTCCAGACATCACTTTCCTGGCAATGTGTTCCAGCTCCTCTGGTGGGATTCTGAGGCATTCCCAGCCTAGATATATAATCTCTATAGCATGTTCTGGGTCTGCCCTGGGGTCTCCTAACAGTTGGACATGCCCAGAAGACTCCAAAGGGAGACTCCCTGGAGGCATCCTGATACTATACGCCAACTACCTCAACTGCCTCTTTTAGATGTGAAGGAGCAGCAGTTCTGCTCCGAGTCCCTTTGAGATGTCTAAACTCAGCACCCTGTCTCTAAGGGTAAGTCCAGCCACCCTATGAAAGAAACTCATAGGGTCGCCACTTGTATTCACAATCTTACTCTTCATGCCCATAGATGAGGGTTAGAGCATAGACTAACTGGTAAATTGAAAGTTTTGCCTTTCAGCTCAGTTCCTTCTTCACCACAACGGTCTGGTACAACATCTGCATTACTGCTGATGCTGCCACTATCTGCCTGTCAATTTCACGCTAAATTTTACCCTCACTCATGAACAAGACCCTGAGACACTTAACCCCCTTCACATGGGGCAGCAACTCACTCCCAGCCCAGTTTGTCTTGTTTATTTAGCTGTTTTACAGAAAGGATTCTTTAGAACTGGACTATTGTAAGGAAAACATGCACACTGGCCCCTCCTTACAGATTTTTTTTATCACCAGCTTTACTGTGTTTTAATAATTTATATACTGTATATAATTTACATGCCTGTAGAAAATATTTTTCTGTGCTCAAAAATGTTACTACAAGCTCAGAAATAAGATGCAAATATATTTCCACAAAGATCAGGCTTGTATTTTGAGCATGTGGAAAAATGAATGGACTGCACTGGATATCCTCTCAGAGAGTGTTGGTGGTACTCCACCAGGGTCTACTTGGTATGGTCCTCTAACCACTGACATAGCCTGAGGCAGTAAGTCTGTGGACTTACAGTGGAAAAGGACCGGCCCGGATATCTCAGCGTCTTCCAGAGTTGCTCCAGCCTCTTCTTAAAACTGTAAACTGTGAAAATGTCAATGATTCCAATGAAGTAGCGCTGCTCAGGGCCATCAATGACATGCAGGGGATTCTTTACATTGGGCAGTAAACGTCGGTTTTGGGTCACAAGGTCTCGAAGCTCAGCTGGGCCACTGCCTGGCCCTAGAAGCTTTGGGGAAATTGGAAGAGTACTACTACTTGATGCATCTCCTGCTTGTGGTTGTTTCAAACAGCTGTTATTTGCTTCATGTAAGGTGAATTCATCTTCTCGGACTGCCCCAGGGACAATGGTGATGGCTGCGTAGATAGGGCTGGAGCCTGGATTCAATGATCTAAAATGATAAGAGTTGCAAGGAAGGTAGGTGGGTATGAGTCGCAGCAATTGTGTGGCCTTGTTATAAGTTAATCTGTTTTGAAATGCTGTGCTTTGTCTAGACAGGCAGGTGACAAAACTACAAATCACACTAGATTCTAAATAATTACAACCACCCTTGAATACATATAACAGTCACATAGCATAATGTTTCCACAAACTTCCTAACCTCCAGTTAGTCTGGCAGGCCTTCAAGAAGAGTCAATGAGATTTGAGGAATTTCTTCAATATTTTTTTGAAAAAATAAGGGCTACTAGGCCTGTGTGACACCAAATTCTGTGACCCATCGATTTCTGTGACCACAGGAGGCGCTGTTGTCACTTTTCAGCTTTAAATCTACCAAACAGTTTTAACTCTACGAAACAGGCATTTTCCGTACGCAAACAGCGTAAGGGCAGCCAGGCGACCGCCCGTGCACGTTAATCTCAGCGACTCTACTTCTGATCTGTCCTTAAGGCTTTGGCTTGCTCTGTTGTCTCTGACCAGTTTGAGCTTTCTCTTTGTCCTCTTTTTCTAAGATAGTGTATAGTCCGAACTCCACTGGGTCCCCCACTGTCATAGTACCCCTAAGGCTGTTTAAAGAAGCATTTGGAACCATTGGCCCAGTTTTTGAAACTATCTGAACTGGGGTTTGCTCCTGTGGCCTCTAAGCATGTTGGCCCCTCCTTAAGAAACCTCACCTTGATCCATTGGTCCTATCAAGCTTCAGACCAATCTCCCATTTGCTGTTTTTCTCCAAAGTCCTAAAAAAGACTATAGAAGCAAACCGTATCTTTGAAAATTTTCAATTGGGTTTCAGCATTGCTCAAAGTTTTTAATGATATTCTTTTATGGGTAGACACCAAAAATCCTGTTCTATTGGTGCTTCTGGATTTTAATGTAGCTTTTGACACCGGTAGATCATGCTATTTTAATAACTCATCTCAGTGAGGTTGTAGGTATTCAGGGCTCAGTTTTAAATTGGTTTAAATCCTATTAAACAACAGAAGCTTATCTGTCATGATTGGCGGTAGCCCCTTTTTGCGAGTTGCGCTTTCCTGTGGTGTACCTCAAGGTTTGATTCTTGGCCCCATCTTATTTTCCCTGTACTGTATATGTTCCCTTTGGGGTCTATTATAGAGAAGTATAATCTCTCACGGTTATGCTGATGATATCCAGATTTATTTACCTGCGAGGCTGAAAGAAGGTCAGTTTTTGCTGTCTTTTTATGACTGCTTAAATGAAATAAAATCATGGTTATGGATAGGCAGATCAGTGCAGTGGTAAAAACCAGTTTCTTCCAGCTTTGCATGCTTGCAAAAGTTACATCTTTTTTGAATCATCATAATCTTGAGAAGGCTATCCATGCTTTTATTAGTTCCAGATTTGATTATTGTAATATGCTCTATGTAGGACTTAGTCAGTCCTCACTTTTTTGCCTTCAATTGGAGAAAAATGCAGCTGCTTGTTTTTTAATACTCCTAAATGCGAGCACATTACACCTGTTTTACACTCTCCCCACTGACTCTCTATTTGTTTTAGGATTGATTTTAAACTTCTAGTGTTTGTTTTTAAGGAGCTAAATGGCTTGGGTCCTCCTTATCTCGCTGAGATTCTGAACTTCTGTAGGTGTTCTGGAGCTCTTGGATCAGCTGATCAGTGCTTACTGGAAATCCCAAGAACAAAGTACAAAAGATGGGGGGACTGGGCCTTTTCTGTTGTTGCCCCTAAGTAGTAGAACACATCATTTGAGTTGCACCTGATTTCGGATACTGTTTCATTTAAAGCTAATTTTAAAACCTACTTATTTAAATTTAACCAAGCAACTTAAGGATTATTTAAGCATTTGACCACTTCTGGGGATAAGACCTGCGCTAACAGACAGTGACAAACAGGTACAGATGTATAACAGCACTGTAAATTAACAGTAAACTTAACCAGGGTCATTGGCTATGAAATGTTGAGAAGCCCATCCTTGAATGTTAAAAAAGGGTGTCCAGTGGTCGAATGCTTAAAGCACATAACACATAACCCCTGCCCCTGCATCCACAGTTTGGTTCCCTTGTTGCACACCTGACCTCTATCCCTGTCTGCCATTGTTTCCCAGCTCTATTATCAACTATCAAATGAAAGGCAAAACTCCCCCCAAAAATAAACAAAACAATATCAGGAAACCTAATTAAAGAGACTAACTTTTTGGTTCTTGTGATGAGAGTAGCAAAGGAGAGACTCTGGTGACGCTCATCGTGGTGTAAGGGCTGATGGGCCAGGAGAAGACTGTAGTCCAACACATTGAGCCTCCGGAGGAATTGTGTGTCAATCTCCATCTGCCGCAGTAGCCAGGGACGCTCCCTGTCTGCACACACAAATATGTTTAATATGTTACTGCTGGCATTTACACACATCTTTGGCATTGAATTTTTATTTCAATTAGATAATGGAATGCATTTTCCACAACTGTAGAAACAATGTACTGGTTGGCCTGAGGGGGGTGTAATAATTCTACTCTTCTGGCATTTGACTGACAAAACACATAAACATCACCTTCAGTTTCCTTACCGAGAGTGATGTACTGGCCTTCAAAGTTGAGGTCTTTCAGAACCACAATAATCTGGCTTCCTTCTGGTGCAGGTTCTGTCCAACGACTCACCTCACAGCCCTTAATGTCATATCTGGCAACACAAAACACACATCAAACTACATTATGTAGACACTGTACTGCTACTACTCGTGCTTTGTATTTCTGAGGGAAAGCAAACCAAACGTACCTGGCACTGATTCGATCATCTGGATAAGACACATTCTGCATTACAATGAAATATTTCTGAAAAAGACAAGTATAAAAGGAAATGTGTTTTAAAATACTTTATAATATCCTGTAATTCTAGTGCTACCGAGATCAGTGATAAAATTTTCTTTACCTTCAGTCTGTGTGGGATGTTAATCCTGTGGACACCTTGAAAAACAGTGAGAATCACTTAGTCCATCACAACATATTATCTGACATACATATATATATTTATATTGTGGTTGTGGCCAATTTGGGTTAAGAAGGAAAGTGAGGACATCTCCAGTGTCTATATGTGGAGCCTTTTTACAATAATTGCAGATCATCGAGACGTCAAATAGTTAGGAGCAGCACCTTAAAGTTACACTGACTTGGCTGCTATCTTCTAAAGTAAGAAGTTAATTAGTAATAACTATACTTGTGACATTAAGTGTCAAAACATTTATCCACATGTTCTACAAACCTTTTGACTGTCTCTCTCAAATATTGGGTCATTTTAATAATTAAGTACCTAGCTAACTAGCTAAATTAGCTGAGCTTACACAGAATTGGCTTGCAAGGCTGTTCAAGTCATTTCAAGCAGTAATTTGCTGATAATTCCTGCTGTTAATTGCCAGTTTGAAATGATTTTAAGCTATATGAGTCCTGTAACCTGCTACAATTTTTGACCGCTCACTGTCACAACTCTTCTATCTTAAGGGCCCTGGTTGTAGCAAGCTTGCTGGCAGACAGTAAATTGTAGGCATTCAGTAGATACACAGTAAGATTTATTTTACTTGTGTTTCTGGGCCCATTTGAAGTCCAAAAGTCACTCTCCTTTTAGCTGTGTTTTGGTCTCCACCAACTCCTGAGATACTAAATGTTCTATGTTCACCATCGTTCGGTCCTGAGCAGGTAGCATACATTGGGTTTATCAGAACTTTTTTCACAGCCACCTACAGGTAAATGATGCTTAAATAAGAGTGAGAGCAAACTGAAAGAGTAAATGTATCCTAACTAACTCAGTGAGCTTAAAGAGGCCAAAAAGCTGTGCAAAGCTGTAGGGACCAGGAGAGTCAGGGGATCTGCGTGGGTGAGTGTTATTTATTTGAAAGGGTGAAGCACGTTTTAACTGAAAAAATGTTACATAGTTTTACTTACTCTCTTCACATTGCTGCTGACATGTTTCAAAACACCATAACCTCAGAGACCAGTTTCTTTTTTTCCAGACAACTTGGTTTTTGTGTATTTTAGTATTGAACCAATTCAACTTACAGAGATTTTAAACATGCTTGAGGTAGGATTTGTTTTCGTCATTTATATATTTATTGTCAAAATTATGCCATGAACTGTTAACAGGTGACAAGTTAAAGGAAAAACCTGAATGCTTGACCCTTACAGTGAGGCGAGGTTATCTGTCATGGTTTGGGTCAACCTGTCTACACTACTACACTACACTACTCTGTTGTTGCAGCTTTTTTATAAATGGCTATCACAGATTTTTACTTGATCACAGTAATCAGCTTCTGGCATAGTGGTTCATATTACTAGACCAGCAGAGAGTTGGTGCAATCTTGGAACCAGTTTTTCTGGCCAAGAGCCAATTCTTTGGCTGCTGAGACACAAAAAACTGGTTCAAAATTAGGCACTGGCTCTGAGCCAGCCCAAGAATTGTCTTGTTTGAAAAGGGGTATGGGAGAGTTTGGAGCGACATGTTAGACCGCGCTCTCCACCACCATCATCAAAACACCACATGAGGGAATATCTTTATAACAATGTTGTTCATCCCTCCATTAGAATTCAGAGACTTTGAGTCAATACCAAGTCTCACAGTGTGAGGAGCTGCCAGATTGTTCTATGCCTTGTCTAGACTCTCCAGCGTTTCTCCCTGACTGCTTTCCTGGTACCGGACCCTTGCCTGCTCTACCGACATGTGATCCAGCCTGCTCCCTCCTGTCTGACTGCCAACCTGAGATCAACACCCTGCCTGTTCAACCAACCTGCACTTCTGCCTTGCCTTCCCTGCTGCCCTGCCGGAGACTTCGACCTTGGACTGTATTACGTACCACTCTTCTGCCTGATCCCCCAAGACTGTATGTTTTTCTGCTAGAATCACAAAAGGACAGTAAAGTCTGTGCTACTGCCTCAGCTGACTGGCTTTTTAATTGGGTTCACTCTATCTTCACGGGAGCGTCACTCACCTCCCTGACACCAAGTTGCACTAAAACTATTCTGGTGGTACATGGTGGCCCAGCACCTTACTGAGACACTTTATGTCAGGGTTTCCTTTCATTTGTCACTAGCCTTTTTCTTGGTCAAATGCAGTGTGTGTGTGTGTGTGTGTGTGTGTGTGTGTGTGTGTGTGTGTGTGTGTTTGTACCTAGGAACTTGACCAGTAGTGAATGTGGGTATGTCCTCAGATGTTCCATATAGATCTTCAGGTTGGCCAGAAGAAATTTCATTTCCCTTTTGTTCTGGGTCTTCAAAAAGAAGCGTTTATCATTTCTAGAAGTTCAAAATCACAGAGTAAGTAGATGCTCTATTAATAATATAACAACCCTAATTTTTATAATAAAAAGTGTTTTTTTTCTGTGTTGTCTCAGATTCACCAATGCCTAATGCAACATACTGGATGGAGTCATAAAATCTGCCATCTACCTTTAGAACTTTACTTTCTCAAACTATAAGACAATTTAAGCAGCTTTTTGCACACTTTATCATGCTAACTGTGTTTGCCACCTCTATTGTAGGGATGTGTAGAAGTGAGGGCACACAAAACAAAGTACATGAGGGAACATTTTAGTGACATCTTAGATGTTTTCTAAATAAACTTGAGACCCTTTCACAAGTAAATGCAGAAAGTAGCCACTTGTAATAAGAGAGCTGAAGTCATGATGTCATGTCCACACTAATCTCTGGTCCACTAGTTTCTGTAACTCAAGACAGTCTCTCATACAACATTTCTTTCATCAGTATGTCTGAAAAAATTAAGTGTGTTCTGGGGTTTAAGTTTCTTAATATAAGACAAATTGCCAGCCAGTTAGTTACTGTAGTAAGCTCACACAGGTTGCCCTAATATACATTGTTGTGTGTGAGTCATTGTTTATTTGAATTCCTAAACACAAAGGTGAGTGCAAATTTATCACGACCCTTAGAGCTGCAATGGAGACACTTAGGGGAAATACACCCACTTGAAATCAACATGAATTATCCTTAAAAGCCCTTAAAGTTAGGTTTGGAGTTATGGTACGAGATGCTGTACATAAGGGCTTAAGGGTCTGGCATGTTGGATTTCACTCCAAATGTCAGTGTCTTATGAACAGTGAAACCATCATGTGTGAGTGAGTTATCAGCTGGTGTGTGGTGACTCACGTCAGGAAGAAATCAGCCTTGCTTTTAGAGTTACTGATGAACTGGAGGTAGCAGTTTTCAGAGCAGAGTGACTGCTGATACTCCTGCTCTGTTATTCCCAAAGAGCCTCGCAGGCTTGCAAAAACCGGGCCTGGACGTCTCCATTGTATAATCCTACACACACACATGCACACACAATCATGGCCAAAAATATTAGTAGTATTTCTGTCAGATAACTCACCACCACTCCCAGAAAATTGTTGCAAACACAAATTTTTTGGTATTCTCATGTTTATTTCTTTAGTCAACATTGGAACAACACAAAAAAACAGAAAAAGCTAAATCTGATCCATTCCACACAGAGCTCCAAAAATGGACTGGACAGAATTATTGACACATTGTGTTGCACCTACCTTATGAATCTGGGTGACCACTACTCTAAAATCATCGTCGGATACATCCCTCTAGAGCAGAAGACATAAGAAGTTTGTGACTGAGAATAACAAAGGATAGTCATCTATTAACTAATCTTTAATTTATTCATTTATTCATGCTATGTATCTTTATGCATTAGAATCCGAATCAATCATCTTTATTTGCCAAGTGTGTTGAATATGTCAGGTCCACTCGGCGCGACCTGCCTCTCTTCCGCCTTTCTCTCCTCTGCTCTCGATCCTGCGGGATCTGCACCTCAGCTGAGTTGCATTCAATAATTAGCGAGTCGTTTGTCGGTACGCACCGCTGGGGTGCATCCCGATGATTTCCTTCCCTACCTTATTTATACCTCTGGCAGATGCCCCACCGTCGCCGGAGCATTGAACTAATGTACCTATGCATGGTATTATGTTCGTACGTCATTTTGATTTCCTGGCTGACAGTTCCTGTGCTGTGGATCTCATTTTGGACGTTGGTTACGTGTTTTGTGTGAAACGTTCTTTTTATATCCAAGCTGACAGTTCCTGTGCTGTGGATATCATTTTCGTTCGCCTGTTCCCTTGGTTAGCCTGTCTATTCACCTGTTCGTCCTCATCCTCCTGCTCTCCTGAGTCCTGCCGTTAGTTTGTCTTTGTACCTGTTTGTCCAGGTCTCCTCCTCCATCTCAGCCCTACTTTGATTATATATGTACATGGACCTTGTTATGTTGTTACTTTGTGTTTTTGTTCCATTAAACCTCCTTTTTTTCTACTAGCACCTGGGTCAGCACACATGAGTCCTACCTCAGTTCTCTGGAGCTAACCATAACAGAATATTATATTATATTATACCATAACAACCACATACAAGGACAGTTGCTTCCCCGGCTGTCACTGATAAACACATATCCCATGATTTTATAACAGAATGACATCTCTCAGTGCAATAACTTGTAAATAAATAGCTTGCTCCTGTCAAACTGAGGTGTCAATGAGTGATTCATGGCCGTTGATTAATGGTGTGCTAATGCCCCATTCATGTTTAACACTTTGCTCCATTCTAACTCTTCTGATGATCAAACACTGTCAACTTTTATGACCCCTAACTACAGTTCACATGTCTGTGTTAGAATTTCACTTCAAAACATTTTATTATAGGTTTTATAACAGCATTAATGGTTTTTGTCAGGGTTTCCCTAGCAATAGGACTGATCCCAAAGGCTTAGGCTGTTGCTCTCTAAAGATTATTAGATGTAAAACTTAATGTTTCTTTCTAAAGTAAGAATTTCATTGTACAGGGAAACACATTTCCTGACTGTGCATATGACAATAAATACTTTGACCTTGACCTAAATTAAATATTAAATAAATCACAGGGATTAAGGGTTAGTGTCAGGGTTTAGTTTCAAGGAGGTTTACCACCAATAGTTTTGATAAATGTATGGCTTAAAACCAAATTATTTAAGTATCTTTTCAGAATTGTTGAGAATTGAGAAAAATTAAATAATTATCTTAAGCATAGGGAAAGGTGGTTGTTTCTCCCCATATAATTTAATTTTAAGGATGTTTAGCCTAACAGCTTTGTTAGATGTAAGATTTTAATTTAGAATATAAATAAATATTAGTCTAATAAACCAGATAATTATCTTAATTTAGGAAATGTGTCTGCTCCACCCGTTATAATGTTTTGATAGATGTAAGAATGAAGGCTGAATTATAATTAATTAATTGATTTTTTTCCCAAAATAGCTGTAATTAAATTTAAAAAATCAAATATTTAGATACCCTCTTTTTTAACAGTATAACTTTAACAGAAGGCTTAGCGCAATGTTCCTTTGAGTACTGAAAACATTAAATCCGATATGTAGCGAGGGTCCAACAATCCAATGGTGATCGCCAGCATCTAAATCCTTCAGTTGTCGTCTCGTCCCACAGAGGGGTGTTACAAAAGGCTTCTACAGTGTCCTTCAGTAATGGATGCAGGGTAAAACTGGTGCCTGGAGAGTATAAGCAACTGAAATGCAGGCAGCATTCTGACAATGTTTTTTTCTCTAGAGTCTGCACCGTCATGGTGTTTAAGCCAGATGCTGTTGTAGTTCATCATGCTGTCCACTTTGACACAGCAACCAGTTGGAATTGTGTGCGTTCACAACCTGTCCTCTCATTTTCAGGAGGAGGCTCTTGGATTTTATCATTCTGAAATCATTACAAACTACAGGTGAATCTCAATAAATTTGAATATCGTGGAAAAGTCCATTTATTTCAGTAATTCAACTCAAATAGTGAAACTCGTGTACTATATAAATTCAGTACACACAGACTGAAGTAGTTTAAGCTGTTGGGTCTTTTAATTGTGATGATTTTGGCCCACATTTAACAAAAACCCACCAAATCACTATCTCAATAAATTAGAATATGGTGATATGCCACTCAGCTAGTCTCAACTCAAAACACCTGCAAAGGTGTCCTGAGCCTTCAAAATGGTCACTCAGTTTGGTTCACTAGGCTACACAATCATGGGGAAGACTGCTGATCTGACAGTTGTCCAGGAGACAATCATCGACACCCTTCACAAGGAGGGTAAGCGACAAACATTCATTGCCAAAGAAACTGGCTGTTCACAGAGTGCTGTATCCATGCATGTTAACAGAAAGTTGAGTGGTAGGAAAAAGTGCCCACACACTCTCACTGTGCTCTCCCAGTGGATTAAAAACCATCAGAGTGAAAGAACAAGAAGTAGAAGGCACATTGAAGACTGACCTCCACTGAATGTAGCAGGGACAGTCAAAGCTAACAGCAATGAGAAGCTGCTGTCAGACCTTCATTTTACAAGCATGTTTATAGCCCTGTCAGAGAGTCAGTGTGTGGACACCTGTTGTACGTAGCTGAGCTAGCAGTGCTACTACGAGAGGCTTTCTGGTGTGTGTCTGTGGGTTTTAGAAAAATGCTGTTTTTACACACTGTGAATTTTGTTGGAAAAATCACTTGCATGGACATGACATGCTGGCAAAGCTATGTGATTATGTGTAGAGCTAAAATATATTTAGGTGTAGTTAGTCTTCAAGCATTTGTAAGTGTAATAATTCATTCTGCTTGTAGTTGGAGGTAGGCTGTCAAGAGTTTACAGATATCTCTTTTACAATGGTGGCTTGTGGGGAAAAACATTTTGGTCTACAGGGTATTTTATTTTATTTTGTTGTAGTACCATGAATGGTCAAAGGGACAAATTAACAGCAAGGATGACTGCTCTCTTAATACATCCATGGGCTACATCCTTGAAAAACAGTGGCAAAAAATGACAACAAGGAATAAGACTGATGCAACTGATACAGCAAACATTTGTTTAACTTCATTCATTCACCCTGACACTGTCTTCATGTTAGATGACTGCTGAATGGGAGAACGGGTTGTTTTGTTTTGCCCTAAATGTGGGCCAAAATCATTACAATTAAAAAACCCAACGGCTTAAACTACTTCAGTCTGTGTGTACTGAATTTATATAATACACAAGTTTCACTATTTGAGTTGAATTACTGAAATAAAGGGACTTTTCCACGATATTCTATTTTATTGAGATGCACCTGTATTTGGAGTTATAATGGGTTCAAAGCTAATCTAGAGGTACCCAAGATTAAACATTAAATGGCTGGAAATGAGCAAAATGAGCAGCCATGGGCTCTTTAAATAATTAAACCAGCTCTTTTTTGGAGAGAATCTTACCTTATTTATTTAGTTAAACACAGCTGTTAAGGACAGTGTTTTTAAAGGTGTTCACCAATGGTGGAGGATCTGTTAGTGAAAAATGTTGTGTTATTCATTTCAGATTAATTCCCTGTTGTCAGTCAGTTTTTTGACAAAGTGAAAGTAACAATCAAGTGTGAAAAAACTTAAAAGTGTGACATTATCAAAGGCCATAAATCTTTGACATCACACCTCAGTTTGATTGGAGCAGTAATCTTATAGTCTCTGATATGTAAAGCATGAAGGGGTAAAGAATACATCTGAATCTGAGTGTTCTATGTAAACATTGTGTGTGAGTGTTGTGTTATTGGGACTGCATATACAACACAACAGATATGTATCTGCTGCTGAGTCAGCAGAGTGTGAAGCAGCAGCACACAGCTGTGTGTTGAACTGGCCTGTGACTGTTAAGCAGCAGCAGGGTAGACACTGCATATCACTCGTTTGTTGAAGACCTTGTTCAGGAGAGGATTCCTCTGTTCAGCTGGGGTATTAGTTTGTTTTCACATGTAGCAGAAAATCAACTGCGGCAAATACCAACTGATGCTCTTTTTAGATGCATTTTAGATGTTAGTGATTGGACATCACAATTTTTACAACTCAGTTAAACACTGACATTTTAAATTATTAAGGACTTCCCCTGGTGGCAACTTTGACTTAGAACTAATTTTTGGGCTTATATGGGGTATGTCACCATTTCGGTTTATTTCCAGCAGGCTAGATAACTGCAATGCTCTTCACCCACAAAGTAGTAAAATAAAATAAAAGATTTTTCTCCTTCCTTCTGTTTTCTTTTTTCTATTTTTCTCAGTGGTGTTTCATTTCATTTTGATCATTTTTATTTCTAGTGTGTATGAGTCTGAAGTTGTTTTACTGTTTTATATTTGTGCTGTCTGACACAATGTCTCCACAACCTATTTTTCAGGATGAAAACAAAACTAAAGCTAAATAAAAAGTAACATAATGATAATGAGAACTATGACAAAATGTTTTACACTTTTGATCAATCAATAAAAAGTAAATGCTAATGTGAAAGATAGATGAATGGACGTCAAGTAACTTAATAACCTGCTGCATCTGTGGAATCACAAACTGTAGGTGCTGATCAGTAAAACAGTTTCCTCCACCAGAATTCAAATAGGAAATACTGAAATGTCACCACTGGTGATCAGTACTCACTGTTGGTGCGTTGTCAATAGAGCTTTGGATAGCTGCTGCCAATCCCTCCTTCATCATGCAGGTTAGGCTGTAGAACTCATGTTGCTGATCAATCTGAAACAAGCCCAGAAGCTTCCACTGTTGCCTCAAACCTCCCCACCTCCTCTGTTTCACTGTGCCGCCGTGCTGATGGTGACCACCTGTAGCCGCTGACATCGCCATCTACACAGATACACAAATTTACAGTCACTTGATATTGTACTGTTGATTTCTTTAGGGGCAGTGTGGCCAGCTCTCCTCTGTGGGTCACAGAAGAGTGGACCTGCAGCATAGGTTGGCGGCCAGACTTGAACCGCCACTGTTAAGCACACACTGTGCTGTATATATGGTGAGTCGCGCCGTAACCATTTGGCTGATGTCTGATCTGACTCTTTTTATTCAGATGTTAAAGTAACACTTTATTAATCTCTATGGGGGGAATTCAGGTGTTGCAGCAGCAAAGCAAAAGCCTCAGTAAAAAATTGCCTACAATAAAACAAACTGTTATAAAATGGAGAATAAAATAACAAGAATATAGAACATGTATAAAATATGTTATTCACAAGGTCATCAACTATTTTTTAGTAGATAACAAATTGCTACCTCATTTACTCTATAACATCCTAATGCCGTGATATCTAATTTCCAGCATTTAGGCCATTACGAGGGTAATCGGGACCAAAAGCAAATGAATGTCCATTCGACTGCCAGTTTCTACTTGAAACTTCTTGAATTCTTTACTTATCTTAGACTTCTTTACAAAATTAATTTCACCCCCTTAGTTGTAAAATTAAAAGCCAATGATTAGTATTTGAGATTGTTCTAGTTTTCAGTGCAGTAAAAATGATATTTCTTCCCAAATAACTGTAGCTATTTCAGTGTCTTCCTATACTTCTAGCCAAATCATTCTTTAAACAGCTATAGTTGGCCATCCTTTCATTTCTGTGGAATTAAAAAAAACCATACATGTATAAACCGAAGTAGGAGTGTGGGCTGCCCTTCCCTGATTTCCACCAGTTTTACTGATCTACTAATATGAAAATGTTGTTTTTGTGACTGAATAATACACAACTGCAACTCTTACTTAGTTAGAGCTAGAACGGGAAAAGGAACATTAGAAAAGATGATGTATGGAAAAGGTGTAAATACACATAGCCATATAAGAATTTGGAAATAAACAGTTCTTCTGTGGAAAGCCTTTTCTTTTACCAATAGCTGAAAATCTTTCGTTTCTACCATCTTGTTTGAACAGTATTTTCTTTAACAGTGGGAAGACCTTTGGATACAGTACACACATCTAGTTTTGGCCTCTTTTTACCAACATTGAGAGAAATATGCCAATAATATGTACATACAGTATGTGTCTATGTAGTCAAACGTGCTATAAATGTAGAGGTTTTCAAAGCTCCAACAAAAATAAATAAATAAGTAAAAGCAGTGTCATAGGTCAGAGAGGCCAGTGACAAACACAAAAGAGAACTCACTATCAGCTGAGTCTTTAACAAGGTAACTATAGAGACCAACACAAAGGGATGATAGTTTCATAATGTGTTCTGTTGTTAACGGCACAATGCTGATCCTCCAACCACTATATCTATTCATTAAAACACATGTAACACATTGTTCAACGATGCCAAAATTTGCTACAATAAATGGTTAAAACACAAGTAAAACGATGTTCCATTAATCAGTAGATCCATAGGAGCATAGGACAAAGAGTCAATAGAACAGTTAAAACAACAAAAAAAATGCTAAATGAATTTTAAATAGCTTGTCATTGCCACAAATACTCACTATAGCACCAAATGTGGATTAAAGCACTGCTGGAACTAGTTTCTTTTAAACTTATCATTCCAATCAATTGTAATTTCTGGTGTAATATTCCAACAGCCATAGCTTGTGTCTGACTTAAAGCTCAACCGCCTACCTCAGCTGTCAGCCGGGATGATTTGGCAGATGACATTTTGAGATTAGATTTTTGAAGTGCTTTCCCAATCACTGGCCGGTCTTGCCCTCAGTGTCTTGTATGGTGCTCGAACAGGCTGTTAGCTCCACCTGATGGACTGTGTCTCCACTGATCCCAGTCTCACCACAGGAACAGTTCCAGTTTAAAAGCTCTAGGATGCCAGTAAGACTTTGGGCCGTGTAGTGTGAGCAGCCCCATGTTTTGTTTGTCTTTGTTTTGGTTTCTAGTGATGCTTTGTTGGATTTTGTGTGTTTTGTATTTTGCTTTGTTTTATGTTTAAGTTATTGTTTAGTTTTGGTTATTATGAAATTCAGTGGGGGTGTATACTCCTCTGTAACTTTTCTGTCCACCCGCTTTTATCTCTAGACTTACATCTTACGAGTTGTAACACTTCCCAATATGAAATCCTTTTGCAAGTTTGTTATGCTGTTTGGTACTTCCATAGCAACAAGCATGACGCAAGGCTGCTTACACCTTTTGAGCTCTTTTCTCTGTTACTGCTGACACTCACAGCCTCACTTTGCATTTGACTGTGAAACGAAAGCTTCTTTTCTGATCCAAAGCTTGTTGTGACCCTGTTTGATGTTCCGCTTGAGTATTCAGGTTGCTGGGCTTTGAAGACCACATCTTTAAGAGCGGATTTCAGCGAGGTGGACAGTGTTCTATTACTGTTAATTATTACTGCCACTTTTTTTTGCACCCCAGCTATTACAGTATGTTGAAATAAAGTGTCACCTCTTATGTTTGGCTTCAAATGGACCTCAGCAATTTAAAGTTACATACATACGTAAATAAAAACTCTGTGTCTCTCAGGTTTAAATGTCACAACATCAGCAACAACAAAAAAAAAAATCAGTTAAAACTGTCTCCATGTAGCCATGGTGATCTCAGCTTTGTAAAAACAACTAATTATCCAATTATTCCTTGAGCTGTCCTAGATAGAGCATGTTTTTCCACAGGGGTATAAGACTGACCCCACTATAATAAGTTCCCAGTTCTCAGTAAAACAGTTACTCTATTACTTATCTATTATGATGGTTTTTTTAAAGGCCTCACTATTCAGTCATCTGGTGGGTAACCTCTCAGAAACTAGTGTTTGGGCAGAACAACACAGAGAAGACTTGACAACGTGTTGCAGAATTCTGGAACCCCCCCACCTTTGCACCAGCACCCAAACACTCAACACCAACTAACAACAACCAGCTAACTGTTCATGCAATATTTACTCAATGAATATACCTAAATAAATGTGTGTATTCAATAGCAAATTGCTGCCTTGATGTCCTCAGCCATGTATATACAGTACATGTAAATACACAGTCTACAAGGAAATTATATGTACTGATGAAAAGAGATGTGTAACACTCTAAACAAAGTGGGTAATTGAGAAACCCCATATTTCAAAAGGAGGGCGGAGAGGATCACGGAGAGGTTTTTTTAAACTTACTGTTTAGTGTTAAGTCCCACAGAGAAGTGAAAACATCACTCCCTTTCAAGTAGCTCCAAGGTCAGTAAATCCAACCAGTGGTTGTTGCGTCTCGCCCCCACACGACCACATACATTCCCAAAGTAGTGAAATTAAAATGAGTAAAATGAGTCCCTGTACAGGAACATTCCCAGACATGCAGTAACCTCAGGCCCTGTATTTTTCTTCACATCCTCTGGTCACAGTGCAGCAGGAGAGAAAATAGTTCCACAAAACCAGGTTCAGGCGAAAAATTCCGCTTTTAAAATGGCACCGGTGGATTTCAGGCAAGGTTACATGAATGCACTGGAAATTATGACCATTCAAGGAGGTCCTTGAACTTTCAAGTAAGATTTTATTTTGTTAGAAAAAAAATCTTGCAAGTGAGAGTTTGTAAGTTGCTTCTGCATAAAAATACTAGAGCATACGTACACCTCATTTTTGGAGCTTTAAGTAACACCTAAGATGATAATTCACCGCTGTAACACTGTAGATAAGTCAAAAAACAAGGAAAAGCATGACATGGGCTCTTTAAATATAAGTCTGCATGCTGTGAATAATTTTTATGAACATGTTTAGTGCTTTTAATATTTCCATAACACTTCAGAATTGCAAATAGGTATATTGTTATAAACATAGTGATGTATTTTCAAGAAAAACCATGATCTTGTAAGACAGTACAGGACTTTTATTTGAAAAATAAAAAGTAGGCTACTTAAAATGGATTTTCAAAAATATCTCTCTCCTCCCCACGTCAGTCTTAGCTGTCGCCTGTTCCCCTTATCAAGGACTATATAGGCAGTCTGTCTATCAGTAAATTAGCACATTTGTACCATGTTTGAGTTAACCTGGCAAGACAGCTCATTCCTGAGGAAGGCCAGGAACACATGCCAGATCCTGTTCATGCCCGCTTCTTCTGAGCCTCCTGATTCTCCTCAGCTGGTTTTCTGTTTCAGGGTCCTCATCAACACCACCAGTCTGGTTCATCTCTCTCTGCACTGTCCACACCATAGCTTCTGCCATGATAGTTTCCTGCTCTGGATTCCTGCCTCAATCACCTCACTCCTACCTGGACTCGCCCCATGTCTCTTGGTCTCCTGGTGTTGGAGTCATTATTTCCTGTGTCTCCTAGTTCTGTTCTTCCATGGTGTGTGTGTGTGTGTGATTTTTGCTCCCCTGCCTTGCAGTTTCTTTTGTTCTCCTGAGTTTTGCTACCAGGTCAATTGCAATTCCATCCATCCATTATCTATACTGCTTATCCTGAACAGGGTCACAGGGTCACAAGGGGCGCAGGAGCCAATCCCAGCTAACCTTGGGCAAGAGGCGGGGTCCACCCTGGTTAGCATTCAGGTTAACATTTCACATCATCAATACTAATGATGGCTTTTTCCATTTGACTGGAATAATTTACCAACTTCACTTATATTCATTACTATGGTTTCAAGACTTTGCTTGTTTGCCTCAAATGTACTTGTTCATGTTGCAGATTTTAACTTAGACTGTTGGTAAACCTCGTAATGTTACTTTATTTGTCAGTAAAAATGTGTTTTATTTCTTGTTAGTTTTATGCTGATAACACAGATGTTGAGGGTGTGGTTAGGAGAGTATGCTTGTATGTTTTATCGTTGTTATTATTATTATTTGTAGTAGTTGCATTGTTTGTTTGGAATACTCTGTTATGATGTATTTATATTTGGTTAATGATTTGTTAATCTGCTTTTTCTTGAAGGACCCTCTCAAAAGTGAGGCAATGCATCTCAAGATGTTTGTCCTCTATTTAGTTTGGTAATAAATAAATAAAAATACATCTATAATGCATTTATTTAACTGGCCCATTATTCAAATGGGTGGCATCTGCACAACGTTTGTGCAGCAGTGTACTGTAGAGACAGACTTGGCAGAATTAAGTCAGAAGGACATGGCCAAGTCAGAGGAAACAACATGAAGTCACAGAGGCCTATAGCAAACAGAAGCATTTTAAATAAAAAGTGACATTTACATCTTTTTGTTTCAGCTTGTTTAACATTGGGTTCAATAACATATTCTCCACGTTTCATGCCTTTCAAACCAGTGATGCTGAGTGCAGGATGAACTCAGTGAACACAAGGCCTGGATCAGGGCTGTACTGTAGCATCCAGCCCCCACTTCATTTTACCCATGACTATGCTTTTGTGGGTGTGTGGGGGAGGCTTATACACTTTTATTCCAGATAGTTCTCACAACAAATACAGTGCTGGTTCGCGATGTAGCATGAATCAGTGGTGTTACATGTCACTGCTGTTTCAGAAAGGTATTTTCAGCTTTAAAAAGGAAACTGTTTCTCATCAGAGGAGGAAATACTTAGTAAATAGGCTATTTATGCAACTGAGCTGCCTGGGTGTCAAGTTAAGAAAATACTATGAGCTAAGCAGAATATATAAGCGATGCATCGTTCCGCTGGTCAGTGTTGATCTGTTACAACGATGGAAATAAAGAGAACATACACCAATATGGAACAAAAGCATTATTCAGGCTAATGCTCATCGCATGTACTGTTGCATATCACGGTTGTCATCATATAAAGAGTTTTACTTGCCTCCTGGCTCGTGGGTGTGGGGCAGTGCAGGTCGGTGCGCAGCCTCCGGGCTCGGTCGGTCAGTATCTGGGTGTGTGTGTGCGTGTCATCCTGCATACTGTGCGTGTGATGACATCGAGCGGAGTCTGTCTCCGTCACACCCAAGCACCGTCACCAGTCGCGCACTGCACCCTGTGCAATAATATGAACACGAATAACTCATAGTAGCAAGGCCGTAGTTTTGCATATGGACGGTAGGGACATGGCTGTACCAATACTTTGGGAGGACAGAAATGTCCCTACTAGTATTTGAGCAAACCCGTGCATATTATCTTTGGAGACATGGAGGCGGCAGTAGTTGTCGGTCAGTGCTGACAACGGTGCGTTATAGTGGCCGACTTCAGTAAAGTTGGAAAACTATTCACAGATTTGAAGTTTCTGGATTAATAGCAGAATGTTGCTAAAATATAAACGACGCCTCTCTTGTTTCGCACCAATGTAGACAACAAGCTACACGCTTATTTTTATCAAAATGAGGCGTCCGCTGCTCCAGACAAATAATATTGGTCTCAATGTGCAGCCAACTGTGAGACGAGTGCAGGGACCGTCTACAAAGTGCAGCACTGAAAAGAGATAAGCCTACTACAAAAATATTTAATAACTTTACTTTAAAATAAGTTTTTCATAATTTGGGGGGAAATTTATTGGGAAAAATATTCAGTAAGTTCACTCATATACTGTAGTGTCCCCAGAATCACTTCACACATTAATGGCTGCTGTTTGTTCATTTGGGGGGAAATTTATTGGGAAAAATATTCAGTAAGTTCACTCATATACTGTAGTGTCCCCAGAATCACTTCACACATTAATGGCTGCTGATTGTACAACACTTAGGTTGGAGAAGATATGCCTTTGTACACTTTCTGTGAAACTTTATTTGAAAAAATAGACTATTCACTGACGTCACTGTTAGACCGTAGTGTCATCAAAATCATTCATCATCATTGATTGGCTAGAAACCCCTTGAAAATGAATTATTTTGCATGTTGGAACAAGCAGCAGGCAAGAGAAGAAGAGTAGGTGTTCCTACCAATGTTGAGACCAAACCTACGCCCTTGCTTCTATTGCACTGCACTTCATCAGAGTAGACTACAGTTATGATTTGATACTATAAATAAAATGTCTTGTTACTGAGTACACTAACAAACAGTATATACTACAGATCCAACTGCATCCACCAACAGCAACATTATGGTAATGCAGCACTTTTACAATAACATAATCATACATTCTGCATAATGAGTATATTTTATTTTACATGCATTTTTTGTTAAAACGTTGAACTTTTAATACAATATTTTAAACGTGTTTGCTACATTATTTGAGTAAATGATCTATACATAAAACTGCATTAGCCTCAGTATGGTTTGCGGGTTAACCAGCAGGCGCCAGCAGAGAGCTCCTGATCGCTTTGATCAACTGTTTTTAATAGCACGAAGAAGAACACCAGGAAACGTAAGCCAACAGCCCTAACATACATATTAGAATGGTAAGAAAGCTAAGCTGATTAAATTTAAGCAGGGGAATTAAAAACAGCTATATCAAACTCAGAAACTGACAGCTTCGGACAATAATGAAGCCTGCGTCGACTAGCGCATACTTACTTTGCTAATCTTCATGGTTATGAGAAACATATTAGACATGAACGTTAATGTTAGTTGACGTGACATCGATTATAACCTGCTTTATAGTATTAGTTTATGTCCAGTTTAATACTGGCTTGTGCAAAAAAATATCTTATTTCTAAAATATTTCCACGCCAGTTTCTCGTGTGAATTTTTATTAAAATTGTTTTAAAGCTGATGCACACTATGTCGAATTTACAGCGGAATACGGTTCAGTCATAAACCGAGTTTATCTGATGTTGTGCTACATGGGTATATTTGCAAACTCTTAACTTGCAGATAATTGAATGGAGTTCATCGTGGCTTTCTCTGCACAGCTGAGCTGTCACTGCAGCTAGGTCGCCTCCAGGTTTCTGGACTGTAGGCTACTGGATACTTTAACAAATCAGACCCTTTTGTGACAGTACACAGTTTAAATTGGGCTTACTTGTTTTAACAACAGACTGACAAACAATGACAAGGTGTTCATGAAATAGAAGTTTCACATCAGCTTATGAGTTAAACATAATAATAGGAGTTGCTTAAAGTCTGACAAACTAAATAATTGACTTAGGCTTGAACCTCAAATAACTAACAGAAAACGTGCATTATAACGTGAGGGCATGGAGAATATAGGATTGAAGTTTGACCCCTACTGAAAGTCAGGATGTTTCATCCTCTGCTGTTTGATTTTGGCCACCTTTTTCAGTCTGCTCCTCCCTTCTCTCAGCTGTACCCAACTAGAAGTGTAATACTACTGTATATCACTGAAGTATTTCTTTAAACCTTATCAAAAAACACATACTGCTTTTATGTTTTCAGGCTACAGGAGTGGATCAAGCAGTTGGCATGAGTATTGTTGTCTTCAGCCTCCTGCTGTTTACATACTACTCAGTCTGGGTCATCGTCCTGGTAGGTGGTATTTGATTCCCTAAAATCCAAATTAGAGATCCTTGTTTCAACAAATGGCTTGTTTCAGCTGAGGAACCGTGCTCCTTGACTTAAATCATACACAGGTGTTCTGAACCTTAAACCTTGTCTTTCAGAATCTTTCTGCTGTGTCTGCACAGCACAGTTTCTAAGACTACCAATAGGAGGATGCTGTTGTTTAAAGGATAAGGCCAGTGATTTTCTATGTTTGGGTTAATTTCCACAAATCCCATACAGAGACTAAAACCAGCAACATGAACATGAGTTATTAAGAGTTTCCTGGTTTTGATCGGATTCCGAATATGATGTCTGGTTATGCATATCCCTGTATACATGACAAAAGCAAGTATCCTGATTACTGATGCCTACGACAATAAACCTTCAGCCTATTCAGCTGTGTCATCTTGTAGCCTCTCTGTTGATATGAATTAAAACATGTGGTAACTGCACTTATTTAGCTTTCTTTCTCTGTAGATCTAACTGGGATACTCATGTCAATGAATTTTGGGTACTCAGCATAGTGAGTGTGAATAATGGGTATGTGCTGTAGACTTCCACTGTTGTCCAACAACTATTAAAATCACAGCAGTGAGCCAAGGTGTGGGTCTGCAGTGGGGGATATATTTCATCCTCAGGAAAAACACAAGGGCCCTCTTTTTTCAAAAAACAGCTCCAAAGCCTAAGAACAGCTGTCACTTTGTACAGTCTCTGGTGTATGAGTCACCTGATTGCTGTTCTGTGTACACTACTCCGCTAGCTTATTGCGCTACATGTACCAACTCCCATAGAGCAATATGAATGTGAAAATCACCTGCGTGATTCCTTACTTTCAAAAAAGGACCATTTGAAAGGCCATCTCTCTCATAGCATTTTACCATTGCTGATACGCTAGTAGGAATTCAGCTTTTTAAAACCATGTTTAAAAAAAAATGCATCACTTAAATATGTGATATTTTGTTTTGTTCCAGCCTTTTGTTGACAGTGATCACATACTGCACAAGTATTTTCTCCCTCGGGAGTACTCAGTCATTCTGCCTGGCATTGCAGCAGTAATATTGCTCCTCTGTATAGGTGAGTAGACTTTCTACATCCTAAAACACAGCATAACTTTCAGTAGTGATGTTATGTGTGAATCCCAAGCTTTGAAGCTTGTGTCAGGCAGAGGGGGCGTTCTGAAATGCAGCCTCGCTTTGAAGCTTGTGTCGTTAGCACAACTGTCATGTGACCAATGACAAATGAGGCCTTGTTTTGCTGGAATCACGTGAATGATTCGGACTGAGTAAAACCTGGTTCACATGGACGACTCCCTCTCCTGTCAGTAGTGCATACCTCTGGTAGCATGACACTTGTCAGACAGCGTCTTTTATAAAATGGAGCCACAGACAAAAAGGACTTGTGAACATTTTGGCCAACTATTATTTCTAAATAAAAAAATCATTAACAAACACCCTCATCAGTTACACAGGCACATAGGTCACTTAAGTGCTTTTACTGCCCACAAAACTGTCTACCATAGCTAAAGCTTAAGCATAATATCACTGATAGCTGTCAGTGATGACTGCAACATTATTAGCTAGCTTGTTCATAATAATTGTGTTGTGCACCATAGAACTTGTCAGGGTCTGTTTGCTATACAGAATGTGTCCACTAGATGTCAGTACTAATAATAAGCTCCGAAACAAGGCTTCATGAGCTGAACCTTTTGGTGAAACTACTGGCCTCACGCTTCATCACGCCATCACCACCCTTTAGTATTAATATATTGACTTCTCAGACACTGCCTCTGAGTACTCGATAAATAGTAATAAATGAGGAATGTGTGTCATTTCTGTGTCCGAGTTAATACCACACTTATCTTCTCCACAGGGGCATTCACTGCAGTTTTCATGTGGAAAAATCGCAAGCCAAAGAAAGTGGACTAATTTCTGGGTGTTCAAGTGGCTGCTGTGGAATAAAATACGTTAATGTAGCCTTGATGCTAAACCCTATCTGGTGGTCCACATAAATCTCACATCTACAGTAATAACAGCTGATGTTCATGCTTACAAACCTTACAAAGTTTAATGAGATTTTTATATTTTGGTTCTATTTTAAGTTCATTGCAATAGAACTCAGCCACTATGTTTCAGATTGTACAGCCTTCTTCTTTGGCTCCCCATATGAGCGTATTAAAGATAATGAAAATGAATGTGCTGAAAACAACACAGTCTCGTTTTTCTACAGATTAAAAGTATGACACAAGAAGAATTTGAGATGTCGTAAAAATGGACAATAGTGTCTTTAAATTTGTCAGCGGATCTCTGTATTATCAGTGTTGCAAAGAATTCAGTTAGCTGAAAGGTTTATGGCATATTTATTGGATCATTTGAAATGTCCATCCACTCTGTAGGGTTATAAGGATCCAGTGGATAGTCCCTAAGACCATCTACTGCAAGGGCGAACCTGAGATGAGCCTGATTACAAGAAAATCACAACCTGCCCTTGCAACAGACACTGCTCCTGTTTCCCCTTAGATACTACCAGTGTATTGAAGTGTCCTTGAAGCTGTTTTTTCTGTAAAAATGAAACACAAAATATTTTTGTTAAGGCAAAAATGTAAATTCTCTATGTTGCCTGTTGCATGTTTTCATCATTTAGCTCCTCATGATGACATTATGTGACGGCAGTAATGTTTGGCTGGCTTCACTGTGGTTTTCATTAAGGATTGCTTTAAGGATGGTCGGAGATGCTTTCCACTCATTTTGACTCAAAATTTCCTTCGAGGTAGTAAAACATGTTACATCAGGTTCAAATAGGCTAACTAATTCTAAAGACACACTATAAACAGTCTCGTAGAACCTTGCTAGCCTAGCAACAATGCTACAAACAACCCATAATGCATCGCTCACTGTCGGAGCTGGTGTTCTGCCAGTACTCCTTCCATTCTTAAAGAATATGTCATGTGAATACACTGGTGCATTGTCAGCAGATATAATGCCACCTCCCCCATTTGAAATATAGTTTTCAAAAAGAAGATTTATATTTGGACCAATACAGCAAAATGACAGTAATATACAGGATGGAAGGAGGTGGAACACGTGTCACTGTTTTTGAAAAAGTGTCCAAATTTAACTTTAAAAAGGTAGTACAGGTCTTATGTGATATGTTGTTTGGGAGTCCATTTTTTTGGTGACTAATTTTGATTGTAAATAGTTTAGAATGCAAATCATTATTTTGTTTATAGTCTTGTGTGGACATGGGGCCCATGGCCCCTTTTCTCTGTTCAATAAAAATTTGATGCTGGAAAGCATGCTGTGTTTGTTGAATACAAATGTTTTGTCTGTCTCATATTTGCAGCTCTACAATAGATGCTGTAGGTACAGTATGGTGAGGCTAGGTACTAACATGTATGTCAGTAGTCTTATTCTACGTATCAGGTTTCCATTCACATGTTGACTTTAGAAGAAAACAAAAGTGTGCCAAGAATGTAGACAAAATGGTGTTTATTTAACATATTGTGTTTTATATGCATTTATTTCTTATTCTACAAATGCGACAAGTATAATTTCAATTTCAATTTAATAAGCTAAAACTGTTTACCATAAGCTCCTTCCTATGCAAATTAAATCAGTGCCACAATTACAAATGCAGTATGCCAACATAATTACATTGGGATGCAACAATGCTGTGTAATTGAAAATTATTCAAAAAAATCCCTTTCACCACATGCATTTAAAGCATTTAGTTTTAAAATAATATAATAATGTCACATATGGTCAAATACAAAGCAAAGAATAAGTATTTCTAAATGCAGTAGCTGACAATTCACCAACACAATGTTTCCCTGTTCTGCATGTTTTCTCTAAGGAGCCCACCTTTCACTGTAAGTAAGACATCCTGCAACTGTAGCTATTACATACATACAAATCTGTAGACCAGCCTGCTGGTCTGAACATAAACAGAAAACAGACTGAAGGTTTACATGTGGGCTGTGACCGGAAGAGGCAGAGAGAATAGCACATTTGTTTAAAGTTACAGAAATGACAGTTGAGGATTGCTGGGATGGATACTTTTATAAGCACTGTGTGTACATGCTTTCCTAGTTTTTGTGCTTTAGTGTGGACAGCAATGAAATCTCCTGGGTGACACATTAAACAGCAGTAAAAAAAAAAAAAAGTTAGCAAACGAATTCCCATGTGTTCACCAGTAGGCTTTTTTTAGAACCGATTTCAGTACAGTATTTATCCAGCATTTACCCTGCATTAACCAGGAATTCATGGACCAGAGCTAGGATAAAAAGGAAGCTTTAAAATCCTTTCACATCAGTCAAACATGAATGGCCCACATGCATATAGTGATACAGTCACACATACAGTACAGTATCAACAAACCATTAACATATACTGCAAAAACACACAAATGAGTTCCATGGGTGTGATCTATTGCACAGTGAAGTCTTGGTACAACAGGAGCTTTGTGCTGCTGCAGCTGTGAGGCTGACTTCACTACAGCCAGTATCAATGTTAGCTCTATATACCAAGTGACAGGAGCAGTGTTTCCACAAGCCATTCAGCTGTGATATGGAAAATAGGAATTTCTTCTACTATGAGTTACAGTCCTACAGACCTGTATATTGCAGCATCCTCACAAAACAAACACTGGCTAAAGGTATAAAGTGCAGTGAGCTTCGGCTGAAGTTTGTCTTTTTTGGTAGTGTGAAGTCAGAATGTAGGCAGGGCAGCTGCAGGAATAAGGCCAGTATTCTACACATCCATTAATCTGAGCCTCATTCAGCAGTAACTGGCTAAATGAAGTTGGTTAACTGACTTAAATAAATATTGTTATTTGGTCCCAACAGAGCTAAAAGGAGAGTGAATACTGGACATGCATTCATCATGAGATCAGAAACACAGCTCCAAATGAAAGCTAATGCTAATTTGTGTCTGCTGAATGTGTAAATAGGCAACTGGCATATGTAAGTTCTAGCAATTTTATGCTGTGCTGTATCTTGCTTGTTGTCAAAATCAATTACAGTAGCTTTAAGGACATTATCTCCTCAGCCCCTTGCAAGGTAACAATGCAATTAATAAAACACCTGCATTCAGGGTTAATTTATGTGTGTAATAAATCCACATGTTGAGTTCTGACAAGAATTTGAGTAAATTTGACCAAGTTGGAAAAACTAGTAATTAACAGGTAGAATTCAGAGAAGCAACAACATCACAGTAAACTCTTTCTTGACTAGTTTACAAGAGCAATCAGATTCAGAGTCAGTAAGTATTTAGCACAGTAAGTGCAGAGAATGGATGGTTACATATGGCCTGCCACATGAACACAGGCTTTGTGCTATCCCATAAGAACAACGTTTGATTGATTTACCAAATTACATTTGTCCCATAACAAGATCACTGAAAAAAACCATAAAAGAATAAAGAAATTTAAAGATAGAACATGTCCTGTGTCATTTAGACAACCATGCCATCTCCATTTCCTTTTAGTGGTTTCTAACAATCCTCCTCAGAGAATACATGTGCAAAATAGTATAATAAGTACAAAATGTATACAGTCATCAAACAGCATTAAAATATCATAAAATCTTCTATTTCAGTGACAGACTTAGTGTGACCGAGTAAGAGCTTTTGATGGCTCTTACGCTGTAACTGGTGGGTCTTCCTCACAAGTCAGAAAAGTATCATATGCTAAAACATATTCACCAGGTGTTTCATATATAATAGTCAGTCGGTGGTAAATCAATAATGTGAACTGAACTAAGTCACTTTCGGCTTTTCCCGTTTAGGGGTTGCCACAGCGAATCGTCACACTGACGACTCGCATGTTGACATTTGGCACGTGTTTTACGCCGGATGCCCTTCCTGACGCAGCTTGTTTCACGTGTAAAACACATAATGCAATATTAAACAATACTGTTCAACAAAGGTTTTATAGATGTCCAATATAATAAAGTTTCTTAACAAGTGAAATCTGATGTCTACCCATGGCCTGACAACTTCTTAGTATTTTAGTTGGACTGCATTAGACACCTAAAGTACGGCTGCCAAATGTCAGTACTGCTGAGATAATGCATTACAACTGTATAAAAAGAGTGATGAGGAGAAACAAACTAACAAAATGACTGACACCGCACACAATATTTATACAAATTCAATATTTGTGGGCACCTCCGCCTGCTGTCAACACTCTGGGTGACCCCAAGTAACAACAAGATGTCATTTCACATTAACTGTGAAGTAAGTCATGTGTAGGTGGTTTTAGAAAATTTACTGAATTAAATGAATTGATGTCGAGCTTCTGTGATGAAACTCAACACTTCCTGCAGACGTCCCACAGGAACGGCTTCCCAGCAGAGGAGAAGGACTATTCACCTTAGACTGCTGGAAGTGTTTTAATGTAAACCAGATAGAGGACATGTTGAATCTGGATTAACAGGAACCATAAATGAACATACAAAGAGGAAAAGGAACAGACTGGAATATTCCACGTAAAATTAGAAATAAGGGCCTGGTTCATTCTTCATTTGTGGTAAAATAAGGCAGCATCTGCTATTTGAGAAAACATGATAATTGCATGTTAAATACCTCCCACCACCTGATTAAAAATACAGTATACTAGAACGTCTCTGTATCATAGTAGTTTTGTACTGTGCACATCCTTGCACATACACAGAGAATCAGAAGTCACAGTGTTACGTGCTGACGTACCTCAGTGAGTCTCAATGACCACTGGCTCAAAGACACCAGGTGTTCCTCTGGGGACAGAAACACAGGAACACACAGCCACTTAGCTGAAGGAAACCGGGTTGGTAAAACGACACAGGAAATGAGATACTGCATGTACAGTGTACCTGTTGGCAAGCTGTGTCCCACTGAGGGTGGTGGTCCCATCTTTGCTAACAAACAGTCTCAAGTTGCTGTCTAAAGGAAAAGAAGGAAAAGAAGTTACACTTGTGATACACAAAACACTTTGCTGAAATCCTAAAACTCTGTCCAACCTTCATTGTTGCTGCTGTCAGAGAAGTTCTGGCTCTGGACAATCTTCTCCACAATGTCATCCGCATCGATGCGGGTGTCGTCCACACAGCTGGGCTGCCTCTCCACTGTGTCCTTCTTCCTCCTATTGTTGGCCGAGACCAACACCATATTTAAGTCTAGCTTTCTTATTGCTAATAAATCCTGTGAAAAACTTTAATAAGGTAATAATAATATTGGTGAAACCTACAACTTCAGGTCATCCACATGCAACAATACATTTAACATGCAAAAGATGACAAACTGTTCTCACCTTTTTTCCATGAATATATAATTTATATGATCTAAACATTAATGCTTTTTTTCTTGTATATTGTTCACTTTTATTTATTGTAGTTATTTTTCATAATATTTCAACTTTATCCTTTTTTAGGAGTTTTTCTGTAATAAAACAGAGCAGTCATTATGTGTGTGTGGAAACAGATGATTCGCTGTGGCGACCCCTAATGGGAACAACTGAAAGTAGAAGAAGTTGTTATGTGTGTTTGCTGTTTAATAGACATTTGACTTGTCACAGCAGGAAAAGCACAGGCATTACTACCTGTATCCACAGGACCTCCCCCAGGTGGAACAGCCATCCTTAATGTTATTAATTACACCAGTGCTTTTCCTCCTAAGGCATGTCAAAACAGCTGCTGTGAAAAATGTTTATTGGATTGGATATAATATACAAGAACCCTCACGGGCTTGCTACAGTTTTAACTCTTTACTGTCAGTGTACTGTATTTCAGCCCAGCTGTTAACATACACTGACACACTTTTATTTTAGTAAATGAAGGTGCTATTTTTATAATGGTTCTGTTATGGTTTGTAGAATTGCTTCCTGTTTGGTGCTTTTATTTTGGTTAGTTTCCTGTCTCGTGTCACCTCACGAGCTTTACCCTGGTTCACAATTACTGTTCATTGCTTCCATCTGCTGCTCATTATCCTCTGGTCTCCTGCCCATACTCCTTCCTTCCCCCTCAGTCTCTTGCTGGTTCATTCTCTGTTCACCATACCCTGCAAGTTTGCACGCTTTGTAAGTTTGTAGCCATCTCATGTTTGTTCCTGTCCTGGCTTTGTTTGGTTTGTCCTTTGGTTTTGGATTTTTGCCTGTCTGTAGCTCCTTGGTTAGTTTCTCTGGTTTGGTTTTAGTTCTTTTACCTTGCTCCCTCACCAAGCTGTTTAGTTAAGCTTCAGCGCTCTTTGTTTTTCCTATCAGGTTGAGCCTTTGTATTTTTCCCTTTAGTCTCGTCCTGTATTTACTAAACTCCCAGTTGAACCTTCCCTTGGCTCATGTGCCTGCACATTGGGTCCTACCCAGCCAGTGAGTCTTAACAGGTTCACATTCAGACTGAGGCCTTTTCATGTGATCTCCAGGAATTCACTCTGTGAAGAGACGAATTCCAAACGCGTATTGTTGAAGTTCACACGTCTGAGATTCAAGCCTGGGGTTTCATCAGTGCCATGGAGTCCAGACACGTCTCGCAATAATGTTGGGAAAACATGCATGAGCATGTGGGTTGTCAAACATGCCTGTGTGTATGTCTCTACCTGGAGGGTCTGTTGGACATGAGGGCTGCTGTAGAAGGTGGAGGAGGCCGCTCCGGTTTAATGGGATTTGGTTGTCTATGGGGCTCTGTGGGGGTGGATGGAGGTGGCTGGGTGGGGTGGGGG